CTGCCGGTGTAAATTAGCACTCGTCCAACCTTCAAATTGGCAACCTTCAATATGAACACCATTGGGTCATCATGGGGAGTTTTAATCTTGCCTCTGTTTGACTCACATACACTCACCTCTAGGAACGGCTCCACCTTCACATCCTCCGTGTGCATGACCTTTCCAGATTGTCGAATATCCTGCTTAATTCCCTTCATGAATGGGCCACCTGCAGCAAATCCGCCTGAAATGAAGGCCACGAACCCGAAATTCGTGTTATTTCCATCATCATCCTTTTTCTTTTCCTTCTTCTTCTCGGACTTGTTGTATGTCCGAAAGTAAGTAAACTTAGACTTTAGTACGAGTTGAGAATGACCTTCTCGGCCAGATTATCCAACAACCTTTTCAAGTTTTTGTAGTTTTTTGTATCATGCCCCACGTCTTTATGGTAATGGTAGTACTTGTTCTTTTTTCTGTACTAGGCCAGCCCCCTCAAAGGCTGGGGCTTCTCAAATTCGAGCTTGTCTTTGATTTTCATCAAAATTGAGTAATAGTCCTTGTTGTACTCATACTGCGGCTCGTACGTCTTGGCTTTCTTTAACTTGGTCTGTTGGCAATCAGCCACCCAACTTCTTTTCTTTTGTTGTTTCCTTCTTTCTTTTTGCCGGCCGAGTCTTGTTGAGAAGATGGTTTCTTCTCGGCGCCCTTGGCCGGCTCTTCTGACTTTGTTAGCGAACAAAATCAGCTGCCTCAATATATGATTCGGCCTCCCGCAGAACACCTGCGTATGTCCGAATCTTTTTTCTGTTCAAAATTAAACTTGAAACCATTGTGCCTTAGACCTCGAAGAAACTCCGAGTAGGCCATTTTATCCGACAAATTCTGAATTTGTGCCTTCTCCATGTTAAACCTCTGAACGTACGAACGAAACCCTTCTTTCTTTCCTTGGACAATGGTCACCAAGTTAAGACTAGTCTTAAGGGGTGGTATACTATAGGAGAAGTTTCTAACAAACAACAAGCTGAGAGTTGTAAAGAAATTTTTGCATCCGGTCTGAAGACTGTTGATTCAGTCTTGAGCCACACCCTTAAGGGTGGGCGGGAAGCATTTACACCAGGTGGCATCATCCACACTACAATCCTTTGCAGGATTGGATTTTTTTTATCGTGGAAATGCGAGGAAATGTGTCTTTTAGGTTGCCCGTACTGTCATAGGCACCCACAAGTACACTCTTCACTTTAGCTGGATGAGGAGAAATGAGGATTTCTTGAGAAAACGGAGGCAGCTTGTCACCAAAGATTCAAAAGGCGCATTTTCCAATCAATTGCTGAGGTTGAGCGGCCAGTCCGACCAGGTAAGCTGTCTGGTTGTACGGCGGGCTATATTGCACGTACTGCCCATATGCGGGGGGAGTAGGCGGCAAAACCACACCATAAATCGTGGGGCGTTTGAAAATAAAGTGGTTAAGTTAAAGGAACTAGAGTTGGAGTACGGTGACCTTAACTCATGCTGGTCCTGGCCGAGCTGGTATGCTTGGAGAGGGTGTGGTTTGAAAATTCATCCGACATGGTGGGAGTGGAAGCAATGTTCGAGTAGTAGGACTGCGCTCGCATCTGCCGCTTGTGCCGGAGATAGTCTCTAGCATCTTTCCAGCGCTTGGACGGCTCATTTGGCTGCGTAAGAGGCTGCTTAGTCTACCCCCAGCCGACTTTGATTTCTCAAGAAGCCTGGACCAGTTCATCTGAGGCACCCTTAGGGACCTTAGATGTCTTCTGAACAGGGTATTCCCTGCATCTTTAGAGTTGGCCATCGTGTCCTGGGGTTTTTTCCTAAAGCCCTCTTCTTCTCTTCTGGACGGCTGTCTAGAAGAAGAAGGTATCTTACCCTCAAGCTCTTTCCAAAGCTTGTTCAAGGCGTCCTGCAAGGAGCCAACCGTTACCGGGGGGTCCTCGGCCTCATGGAATGAGGCGGTCAGAGGATCACTGGTGTTGATTGTAGCGACTATGTTCTCTACATGGTCGTCCTGACCAAGACCGGGTGTCTGACCATCTTTAGCCATTTCAGATGTGTATCCCCACAAACGGCGCCAAATGTTTTGGGGTTTTTCGGAATCCCTCGGAATACAGGTCTTGAATATAACCGGATGATCGCGAACACCTGCAAAATAACGAATATTCCATTTGATGGAATATTCGCCTCCGACGATCAAGTTAGTGATCGGAAAACGAAATAATATAGAGAGAGAAAGTAGAGAGAAGTTAGAGCAAATTGCTTATGCAATAATTGAGATATCTCTATCCACCTCTCCTATCATAAATGATTGGGGTATTTATTGGGGTGGGAGTGTGTGCCATCTAGGGTTTAGTGACCAAGAATAGGGTGCTCTGATTGGCGGCGCAATCAAGTAAGGACAAGTGACCTTTAAGGGTGCCATTTTAGCGCTTTCCTCGGGATTTGGGCCTCCTGATGTAAGGAGGCCTTTCTCTCATTCAGGTGCTCTCTTGCTTGTCGTGTGTCATCTTCCTATTGGGACACGTGTTGCCCTATTATTGGGCCACGTGTCACTATAGGATTGGACCATGTGTTGGGGTATTTTTACCCTAAACAATTATTATTATTATTATTATTATTATTATTATTATTATTATTATTATTATTATTATTATTATTACAAGTATTATTACTATTATTATTATTATTATTATTATTATGAAAAATAATAAAAACCTACAAAGTCAACCGAATTACAAGAAATCAGTGGGGAACCGAAATACAATCTAGGCTCCCACTCCTCTAGCTATAGCGAACCCAATGCTGCTGAAGATGTGAGCAGTTGCACGTGCACCAATATCCTAATTCCTAGCGAACGCCTGAACTCGCTTCAGCAATGTAACAGCCTCCTTATCTAATTCCCACAATGAAGAAAAGGAGAAAGCAAGAATAAAACTACAGCCAATAGCCCTGTAACGTGCCCCATATTTGTCCCGCTTCTGCTAAGTTGCAACCGACACAACACGACCAGGTACGAAGTCAGACAGTACAAACCAGATTGTGTTAAAGGCGAAGACCTTGTCAAGTCAACACACACATCAAGGCCTTTGTCCTAGGAATAAAGTAACACATCTGCAAGTCGAAGACCCCCTATTATTATTATTATTATTATTATTATTATTATTATTATTATTATTATTATTATTATTATTATTAGAACAATAAAATACATACATTCATATATGTTATGATGTTATCAAAATGGGTTTTCTTTTTTTAAATGAAATAAACTTTATTGCCAAATTAATAAAATTGGAGCAAAAAAATATTAGACTGATAAAATTATATGATTCTTATATATAATATTATACTAAATATTCCACAATTATACTCATTTTTTTGTGTGTGTGTATATATATATATATATATATATATATTTATATATATAACATTCCATTTTTTAGTGTAAATAAAAAGAGAAAAAAAAACATAATTGCCAAATTGGAAAGAAAATATTATAGGAAATAAATACTTATCATGAAGGTTTGACCAAAGCAAAGAAGGAAATATAAAGTGGAGCGAAATTTTTTAACCGGAAGATGGCATGTGTTATCCTTAGTTTCGCTTTTAGTTTAAACTAGTGCGTCATCTGAGTGTTGCCTCGAAATGTTACTTTGAGTAATCTATCTATACCAATATGATAAACAGCATTCCTAAAAAAGTCTATTTGTCACGTAGACCCCTTATTATTCCACATCATCGAATCAATTTTTTTATTACGCCACGTAACTTAATAAAAAAAGTTCTCCACAAGATTTGAACATGCAAACCTCTAATTATATCTAAAACTAAGCGTCTTACCACCAAGCTATGTAACATTCTATGTTATCTTTTGATACAAAATGTTAATATCTATAACAGATTTAATTATAAGAAAATATGTTACGACCCGAGGCATCTCCCGGACCCAAATACTAGTTTCTTTTATCATATAAAGTGTTTGAATTTTTAGTTTTAATAATTTGGAATATAATGTTGAATAGTGAAGAGAATTAAAAGACGTTTATGAGTCTCTTTTGTTTTTAGTTTGGATGTTAATTTTATTATACATTTAAATATATTTATATGGATGAATAGAGCATAAATTATTGGTAGTTGACTTGTTTGGATGGCAACACGTGTAGTATTCATTCAATAAGGTTAGGAGTTCAAACCTCTTTCTATTTTTTTAAGTAACACATCCATGAGTTATTAAGTGGTGACGTGACACGATACTAATGCAGAAAAGAGGTTATTAAGTGGTGATGTGGCAAGATGCTAGTGCAGAAAGGAACACTTTTTATTATCAAAAGTGTAGATTATTGATTTCTAAACTTTTAATTTCTAATATAGAATACCAATTTTATACATTTACCCCATATTTTCACACTCCCTATACACTTGCACAGTTGCACTCACATTACCAACTTTCAATGTAACTATTTCCATTTATCAAAATATATTTACATTATAAAAACTATTTACTCCCTCTGTTTTTTTTTAAATGCATCAGTTTGACTTTTGCACTATTCACATTCCATGTTTGACTTAATTTTTTTGCTTTTATAAAATAAATAAATGTTATTACATAATATATTATTAGATTAGTCACAATGTCTACTTTCATAATATAATTTTGTTATAATTTTTACTATAGACAATTAAAAATATTAATGATCAAAGATACGACTTGACAAATGAGCCGGTCAAAGTGATGCAAAAAAAAAAAAAAAGAAAAAAAAGTGGGAGTATTTACCAAAATATTTACCTACTACCAAAGCAAATTTATGTATACTTGCTCCTAGACAATCACTCTCAATTTACATACCTTAAATTATTTTTATTTATTTATTTTTTTTTTTCGGCCTCCTCCTTAATACCCATGTAAATAAATGTAACCATTAATAAGTGATGGATTGAGTACTAAAATTGAATACTTAAAACATTAAATAAAAATAAAAAATAATATAAAAATAAAAAGAAGGATATTTTGGGATTATGTCATTGACCAATACATGTATTGTCTCCCCAGGCCAATTCACCCTATTTCAAACCAAGATTTTCACTTTTTAGTTTTTAACCTCAGCCAAATTCACCATATTTCATATCATATCCTCCGTTGAAATCCTCTCTCATCATCCCTATATAAACATAGTATTGCTAACATTTTATACACCCATCCTCTGCTTTAATTTGGACATAAAGATCCAACATCATGGGTACTATCTTACATTATTTCATGCTTTTATCCTCTCTTTTTCTGCTAACTTTACTACTTTCACAAAATACAGCTAAAGCCCAAAACTTCTCCAAATTAGGCAACAATTTTACTACTGTAAATCATGAATTAGCAGCAAATAGAGGAAGATGCAACCTTTTTCAAGGAAAATGGGTGTTTGGTTCTTCTTATCCACAATATATTTCTTCTAATTGCCCTTTCATTGACCTTGAATTCAATTGTCATACTAGACCTGATAAATTGTACCAGAGGTACAGATGGCAGCCCTATAATTGCAATTTAAGAAGGTACCTTCCTCCCTTTTTCTTAATTTTTTTAAACTCTCGTGTCTAATAGAGTATAAACACGAACTTCAACCATAACTTAAACTTTTGGTTGAGTTCCAACTGACCCATACTGATGTAGACAGAATTCGATCCCATGTTTCGAGTATAACTCCTGTTGAGCCAGCCTGATTGGTCGAATGAAAAGCCCTTCAAAAGCAAGCGGAATAATACTAATGTGATTGTTTTAATGTTTATAGGTTCAATGGACTATATTTACTAAGGAAATGGAGGGGAAAGAAGATAATGTTTGTAGGTGACTCACTAAGTTTGAATCAATTTGAATCATTGGCTTGTATGATTCATTCTTGGGTTCCAAATACTAAGACTTCATACATTAGAGGTGGCGCTTTACGTTCTCTAACTTTTCAGGTACACTGACTGTTTATTCCTCTGCTTTTTATTGCCTTTAATAATTTTTTTTTTTTTTTTTTTTAATTTTTTTTTTAACTGAGTAGGCAAGTAGTAATTTATTGTTCCTTGTGTTATGGTGTACAACTGTTAGACTAATTATGGAGTAGGGACCAAATTTACTAATCATTCTTGTACTGTGCAAATTTATTTACTGTTGAGATTTCTTAAGCTAATTTTAATGAAATTTATTAAGAATATGGAGAAATATGCATAAATAGAAGTATGGAAGTAATAGAACTATAGAAGTAGTCAAGTAGATACTAGATTGAATAGGTTATATTATTACTACATACACCACTAAATTTTCAAACAACTCGTATTTATAAAACTTTATAGGGGTTCTACAATTTCTTTCTTTGGGTGGTCCAAAATATCTACCAATATACGATCTTGTTGGAGCAATATTTATTTATTTATTTATTTATTTGAAATAGATGTATCAAATACGTAATAATAATACAATCGTTGTATACTTGAGTTTGTATATATCATTAAATAATTTTTTAACCCATTATTTGGTAAAATACGTATTGTTATTTAATAATAATGATTTTGTAAGTATTTAGAACACTTAAAAATAAGTTGGGATTCTTGTGAGAGGTGTAGTAATATTAAGGGCATGTTTGGATTGAGTGAGATGTATTACTAGTGTAATAAAAGTCAAATTTAGCAAAATGAAAGTGAATATAGGGAAGGAGGAGATACCGAGATAGTGATGGTGTATTTGTAAAGAAAATTATGTAGTAATGGTATGGTATGAGGTGACCGAGATACAGAAAATTATGAGGGTAATAATTCCTCCATGTCTCTCTCTTCCTCATGGCACAATTACTTTATTTAATTTGTAAATACCATTGCATGCCTCTTACAACACCTCTAATTATTTATATTTTTTCAACTTTGACTTTTATTACCTTCTTAATATATTCCTCATGGCCAGTGGAATCTTTAGTTTCAAAGGGTTGATGATTTCGAACATGTCATTTATGGGGTTTCATGTATGTGTGCATAGGTCATTTTGACTAATTTCCATCTTTCCAGCTATTTGGAAAAGATAAAAGTATGCATGCCTTAATCTTTAGGGTTAATTTTTTTTTTTTTTTTTTTTAAATTTTTGTAAAACAATTTAATTTGTTTTATTTTACTCATGCTGTCATGCATGATTATTGCATCAAGAAGTACCCTATGTATATGCCTTTCCTTTTTACTTTTCTTTCGATAAACTTAGGTCTAGGCTTTTTATTTTATATGGTCATGTTTTCAGGAATAGGGTGCATATAGGCGTATAGGGTCTATGTATTTTGCGTGCATATAAGAGGGCAATCGGGAATTCGGTGGTACATTTTCTCTCTTTTAATGGTACAGTGGTACATTTTTGTGTACTATAATGTACTATTATGCATGCAGTGGTACTTTTTGTCATCATATTTTCTACCATCGATTTTTCTCAGATTCCCATTATTTACAAAAATGTCATCCTATTTGGTTAGTTTTTACTTAGTTTGATTAGAAATGATATGAGGGCGCTCTCTAGTCTATGGTACAGTAGTACTTGAACAGTTCACTTATTGAAGATAAGGTAGGAATGGTAGGATTGCCTTTTCTTTGTCCTCCATAAATGGCTGACCTTATATAGATTCTATGTTTGGTACACATATTCTTAAACCCAACCCTAATTCACGCCTATACTTGAGATATTAATAATTTACATATGAGGAGGTATTAATTATGAGGGACAATTACCCCTCAATGTTCTAAACGACTAAACTCCTCATACCAACGGTACAAGAAATTTAGACTAGATAAGTTTAGATCCACTAATACAAGTTACTCGAAAGTAAATGAATTTATATCTAATTATGCTCAAATCAAATTAAACTATGTTTATAATCTTTAGATATGTAAAATTCAACCTAAGAGAACCCATTTATATTAATGAGAGAGAGTAAAAATAAAGACTAACGAAATCCAACTCATACATACAACAAATTAGGATGAGTCAAATAATTCATCTAAAAAGAATACTCCAGTTGAAAGGGGAAATAATGAATGCATTCCGATTAATATGAAACCTAGAAATTTCAAACCTTTCCGTACTTTACGCAACACCCCAAAAAATACTTTTACTTATTTTTCTCATACTTTTTTGGTTTGTTGTGCGCGTTATGTTTGGCGGGAAAGAAATAAGGACTGAGGTGTAAGGTATGCATAATTTCCTACAAATAAATAAATAAAAACTAAAAATTAAAATATAAAAAAATAGTGGAGTTTGGGGTCTCCAATGCTTGTCTTTAAGCGGATTACTTTTTTAATTACAGTAGTGTGGTTTTCTTCCCACGTTTTTCTGGGTGAGCTTTTGCTTTCAAATTTGCTCATCAACCGCAAATAGTGGATAGGCATTGAGTTTTTATAAATAGTTTGATTTTTTATGCTATTTATTTACCTCATATAAAATTAAATCATAAGTACTCTATTAATTTTAAAATTTTGCACTATTATAAATTGATTCGATTCATACTATAACTAGAATATGAACCTGCACTCGATTTGATGTTAAGTTATCTGATTAGATACTAGGTTACCTAAAGTGATATTAAGATTCTTAGTCAGATTTGACGATGACATGAATTGACAACCAACCAATCAAAAATAAAAAATCAATTATAACCCATCATAACCTGTTATTGACCCAACATGCGGTTACTTATAATCCGATTTTGTTCGACTTATCAATATTAACTCAGCTGCCATTCACTAGACCCAAAACCAATATATAACTAGATGTCAACTCGACCTATTCATTACCCAAGTGAAACTGATTAAACAAGAATTATCTTGAGTAGAATTTGATTACAACAATAAAATTGTAGAATTGGTTTTTTAATATATGCTTTAATTGTCTTAGAAACATATTGATATTGAGTACATTTTGTTCATATCATATACCTCCTACTCGTAATTTTATAGGTTGAATAGCATATTCATTACTCTTGATCCAATTATGAAATGCCTAATTATATAGGTTTGATGTGAGTCATGTGACCCAATTGAAACTTGATCTTAAGCCAAAACTACATTTAACCCAAAACTAGCCAGGTGCTTGACCAAATATGATTTGATACAACCCAAATCTGGATTGATTCCAACCCAAAATTGACAATGGGTGTCTTACACCCAAATGGGTAAATGACTAAACATGACTAATTTAAAACTTGACTCAACCTGAAATTGGACCGAATTTGAAGGATTGATTGACTCAACGTGATTTGAAATTGATTTGGCTCGGATTACTCGAATTGACAACCCTAGTGAAAGAGAGGGTTTGGGTACGATAATGTTATTGTATTTGCTCTTAACTAACGTTGTTAAGCCACAATTTTGGTTGGATTTTAATTATGTTAAAACTTTATTTTAATTTTTGGATCATCGCACTACAAGAATACGCGCGTTTACCGATGGTCTCTAAAATCCATCGGTAAAAATATAATTTACTGGTTATATCAAGCCATAGGTATATTTTTTCCGATGGCTTTCTTCCATCGGTAAAAAATAAATACCGTTGGCTTTATTTTATCGGTAAAAAAGTCATCGGTATTTTTTAAAAAAAAAATAAAAAGTAAACACTAGGCGGAGCATTGAAAGTCTGAAACCCTAATTGGGCGCCCCCACTTCCCTCTTTTCCCACGGCTCCTCCTCTCTATCTCCTCTCTCCTTCTTTCTTTCGTCCACGGCTCCTCCTCCTCCTTTTTCTCCTCTATTTCTCGCCCTCTTCTCTCTCCTCCCTTTCTGTTTTACACTTTTTGTTTGTGTTCTTCGGTTTTATCGACAATGTTCTTGGGCTTTTCGTGGGAAATCTGGCGACATTGTGGTTTTTGATGGTCAAAATCGACCATAAAAACTCCAGATCTGGAGTTTTTATGGTCGAATTTGACCATTTAAACCCTAAGAAGTGAAAAAATCTGAATGTATGTTATTTTTGGTTGAATATTCGTGGGTTTTGTGGTTGATTTTCGTATGTTTTGAGGTTAATTTCGGGGGTTTTGTGGTTGATTTTCGTATGTTTTGTAATTAATTTCGTGGGTATTGTGGTTGATTTTAATATGTTTTGTAATTAATTTCATGGGTTTTGTGGTTAATTATCTTATTTTTGTGATTGATTTTCATGGGTTATGTGGCTGAATTTGGTAGATTTTCGAGGGTTTTTTTTGGTTGATTTTCTTTGAATTTTTTGATTGATTTTCGTGGGTTTTTTATGGTTGATTTTCGTTGGTTTTTGTGGTTGATTTTCATTAGTATTTGTGGTTGATTTTTGTGAATTATTGGTTATTTTTGTGGGTTTATGGAGGTGGTGGAGGTGGTGGTAGGTGGATGAGGGTTGCTGGTGGTCGTGGTAGGTGGATGAAGGTTGCCGGTGGTCGTGGTAGGTGGATTGGTTGTGGTGGTTGGTTGGGGTCCTGGGGATGCGGGCAGTAGGGTAGGGGGGCAGGGGGCAAGGGGCAATGGGGTGGGTAGGGGTTATATTTTTACTTTTCTTTTTTAAAAAAAAAAAGCCATCGGTAATCGGAAAATAACGATGGTTTTTGACCATCGGAAAAAAAAGCCGATGGCTATTGCCATCGGTATTTAAAAAGGTAGCGATAGTTTGTAGCCATCGGTATTAAGTTTATCGATGGCTTTTCCATCCGGGGTATTTTCGATTTTACCGACGTATTATTATCACATGGTCAAAATACCGATGGCAGAGCCATCGGTAAACGAGATACCAATGGTATTTTATACTTTTACCATTACATTTTGTCCATTGGAAAATGGCTCAATTCTAAGTAGTGTCGGACTATATTCTTTTTAGAGATTGATAGTTTGGTTTGCACAATAGAAGTATAAATTAATAAACTATGAGAAAATGTGCAAATTGAACCACATACTTGCAATGAAGACATTGAAATAATAGCGGGATTTGATGACCTAGCGCGAATCAAATTGTTCAGACTTGAGATTTAAACACTTGACTATGTCAGTGGACCACTGTAGTCGGTTGTATAAGTTTATAGGTAAAAGCATAAATAAATAGATCAATAAACCTAAAAATAAAAATAAAGACGATGCAGAAAATCTATGGAATGAATTAACACAATCACATGTAAATCTCGACAAATTGTGCAGATTTTGCACGGCAAAATTTGTGTCAAAAAAATGACCACTCGTTTGGCAGGTGATATAATTCACAAGCTAATATCTACCAAGCACAAACCTATTTGTTTTGATCTATATTATTGATTGAAATGGTTTAAAAGGAACAGAGATTTGACAATAGGTTTTAATGACTTTTAAACCCATTATGGTCTACCATTTTCCTTTATTTTTGTCTATTGTAGGACTATTCAAATTGTGTTTGGTTAGAACCAATTTGGTTCGAGTATTATTTAGGTGGTCGCTCTTTTAGTTCGATTCTGTTAAATCTGAATATTATCATCTTTAGGTTTGTAGCCGAAATTATGAATCAATCAATTGTAATTCGTAAATTGAGTAACTCAAAAATAATTGAATTAAATTGAGATTTTTTTTTTAAATATTTTTATTGTGGCCCATTTATTAAAATTCTTGCTAGGCTTTTGATTACTTAGTACTATATTTATTTATTTTTTGCATTTGTTTTGTCTCCATCATGGTTTGAGAAGAAAGGAACAAACAAAATAGGCTAAATTATTGAAAAATGAATGATTCTTTTGCTGGTTAATTTAACTGTGACAATAAAACAACTTTTATGTCGTTTACCAACAGACAATTATAAATGTCGAAATGTTAGACTTGGGAGATTGTGATTGGGTTCGGTGAGTATATAATTCCCACAAAAAATGCATGATTTCCTTACCTTATCATTATACCAGATAATTAAAATGCCTTGAGGAGTAGTCTTAATTAAAGAGGTCCAGAACTTTGAGATAATCTATTTTTAAGGATATCAAGTTTTAACAGTTGGAAGACTTTAAAATGGATGTAACATGAAAGTTACCTTTAATTGTATGAGATTTGAACACTTTTTCTCAAATCATATCATGTATTAGGTAATTTTTTTTTCCCTAAATGGTAAGAAAAAACAAGCAAGCATTTATGTAATTAAGCCATCTCGCAGCATGGAAATTCAAATACACTAATGGTTACACACTTACACTCGTTAGCAACCAAATGCGAAGGGACTAGATGGCACGAGAATGTACTTGTGCTACTACACATAAACTTCAAGCATTGAATATGTCCAAGTGCATAGATGTTTTAAATAATCTTTTAATAAATGAATCATTGTGATAGTGAAAATTGAGAAAAGGGTGCTTAAAAGTAAAAAACGAACCAAAACTTGTTTCTCATTGAAACTTGTTTAGGGAAATAGAAGTACACAAAATGTGCTTGTAGCATGGTTTAGTCAGTATGCAACTTCCTGGCTCATTTGTCGTAAGAAATATCTGTGATATGAGATGGGTAGATTAGGTGGGTCCTGAAAGATTACACAAATGAATCTGATATGAAACTTTCATTTTATTTACCAATTTAATAATTGAAGAAAAGTTTACTTTGTCAAAATGAAAGAAGTAAACTGAATAACGTGCTTTATATTGTGTTAATTCTGTTATACAAAATATTTCAGTGTATAAATGGTCGTCCTTTTACATCACTTAAAATCATCATTTAAATATGCTATTGGTTACATGTATCGTGTATGCTTAATTTTACAAATTGTAATGGGAAATAATCTAATTACTTTGATGCAACTTTAATGGACAGGAATTTGGAGTGACTATAATGTTATACAGGACACCATTTTTAGTAGATCTGGTGAATGAGAAAATTGGACGAGTATTGAAGCTTGATTCTATCAGTGGTAATGTGTGGAAAGGAATGGACATGCTTATCTTCAATTCATGGCATTGGTGGACACACACCGGCCGAGCTCAGCCGTATGTTCCTCCTCCCTCTTCTGTTTTCTCCATACTTCAATTAATTCCATCTTCTCTGTTTTTTCTTTTGGTTTTGCTCACGATGCGATTCTGAGACTCCTTCTACAATGACTTTAGAAATGTACGATTGACCTGTACTACAGTCATTTCTAAGATTGCATATATAATGACGAAAATATCTGATTGGTTAATAAGCGTTTAACCAACAAGGTTTACTAGTTTGGTGTTCTTAGACGCATTTAATAATTTATTAAGTAGCATAAATTGACATAGTATACTGTACTTTGTACTTCGTACTTGTATATCATAAAAGATTGTGGGTAGTATGTCAAATCGTATTTTCGTGACATGAAACTAAAGAGTACATGGAATTCACTGTGACCTCATTGTGTCTTCAATACAATTAAACATTCACTATAGTATAAACTTCTAGGTTAATTCATACTTTTTAAAACAAAAGGAGTTAATTCTCATCATTGAGCTTTCCAATCTTGTTTCATGAAGCATGTTTTAGAATTATGACTTTGATGGAAATTTGATTGAAAAGATTAACAGAAATATAAATGACGCAGGTGGGACTATATTCAAGTGGGGAACAAGTTATATAAAGATATGAATCGTATGATTGCATATTATAAAGGCCTAACAACTTGGGCTAGATGGGTTAATCTCAATGTGAATCCTTCTAAGACTAAAGTCTTCTTCGTTGGCATTTCTCCTTCACATGATTTGTAAGTTCTTTCCACAATTTCATTCTTTTTCCACCATTATCCAACCTTTTTATATTCTTTAACTTATCATTAGAAAATTCAAACATAAAGTATACATGTATGCATGATTTTATATATATATATATATATATATATATATATATATATATATATATATATATATATATATATATATATATATATATATATATATATATATATGTTGTGATAAGAAATAAAAAGAAGGGAAATTATCAATGGTACACCCAAGGTTCGGGTTTTTGTCAATGGTACATCTACTCAATTATTCTTTATCAGTGGTACACCCAAGGTTTCACACATTTATCAGCGGTTCACCTACCGTACCATTTCCGTTAAAAAAACGTTAATTTTGGCTTTTTTTCGATTTTCTAACTTAAAAAATTGACACATGCCGGCCTGTGGTTGGTCCAAAAAAATAAAAATAAAAAAAAATAAAAAAACTGACACATGGTGGCACTTGATTGGTCCAAATAATAAAATTAAATTTTTTTTTTTTAAAAAAATCAATCAATTAATTCTTTTTTTTTAAATCTTAAATTAAAAAAAACCACCTCTTTCTTCCTAGTCAGTGGCCCCCCTCCACCTTCACCCCCCCTCCCCTTCCCCGTTCAGACCCCCGCCACCTCAAAACGTTTCTGAACCAAATAACCCCGCCCTCCACCTCCACCTTCACCGACTCCCGCCACCTCAAAACCCCTCCGAATCGAACCACCCTGACCATGGCAGCCCACTCCTCTTCCCGACCCCCAACTTTACCATGCAATAGGTGAGGTTAACAAGTTTTAAGTCCAAAAAAGTCGATTTTATTCTTGTTATAAGAGATAAATTATTAAAATTTTAAAAAAGGTAGCTTTCAAACTCTTATCACCAAATTGTAGGTAAGTTAAATCATTATCAAATCAACAAAATCCCCATCAAAATATTCTTTAATGATAAGGAACATCTTTCGAATACTCTCGCTAACTAAAGTAACAAAACTATGATGATTGTAATTTGATAGTAATAATCATGATGACAAGAGAATCAAAAAGTGGAGGGATGGGTTAGTCCCTCTGTCTCCCCCGGGTGTAACCAGGATTCGATCCTCACCCTAGTCTCCCGTGATAGGTGGGGTACCCCCATATCTTAACGTATATAAAAAAAAAAAATCATGATGACAAATTATATGTTAATTGTTAATGCAGCGGAAGTGATTGGGATGAACCATCAAGATCATGCTCGAGCGAAACAGAGCCCTTCTCCGGCACAAAATATCCGGCAGGTAAACCACAAGAATGGGCTGTGGTGGAGAAAGTAATAAGCAGAATACAAAAATCAGTGTATTGGCTTGATATAACATCTCTATCACAATACAGAATTGATGCACATCCTTCTAAATATAGTGGCCGAGGAAAAGATTGTAGCCATTGGTGTTTGCCTGGATTACCTGATACTTGGAATCAACTTCTATATAATGCTCTCTTCCAATGATTTGCTACTTTTGAACAAAAATCAACAAGTAATTAAGTGGAGTAAAGATAGAACATGTGCAACTAATTGAAGTTGGTGTATGTTATAATTGGTGCAATTAGGTTGGGTTTTGTGTATGATTTGCTTACAATTATAAATTTTGTATTTGCCTCTTAGAATTTGGATTTCAATTTGATATTTTTTAAGTGGGAAGTTGGGTGTATAAGGACTTTTGCTTCAAGTGTAAATAAGTTGTCCATCTTTGGTCAAAAAGGTGCAGCATTTTATTATCATTGCTAGTTTATATGAATGAAGGAATCCGATTTCTTAATTTGCAAATAATCTTTCGTGTATTTATGTACATTTAATTTTTCTGATTTGATTTAACAGGATAAATTTAGATAAAGATTCTATTTATATTTGTTTTGATGATCAAATTGGCCCTACATAAATCTAAATAAATTCCCAAAAATACCCGAGATAATTTCGAACTTGTGAAGGTAACTTCAAATAAACCAAAGGAGTCGGCTTAATTTCAAATGATGAGTACAAACAAATCACCATGCATAAAAATTGATTTAGTACAACAGCAACATTACCTTCGTGTTCTTGTGTTCAAAATTCAAGTGGACAACAATTAGAATAATTAACTACTACTCCTAAATTAAAAAAAATTTCTCTCTCTAAAAAAAATGCTTTGCCTTCTCTCTTCAAACAGAGCCTTTGCCCTACCCCCGTGTTCTCCCCTGCTGTCTGTGATCTGATCACCGCTGCTCTTATAAGGTCGCCGGCGAGCAGTCATCGAAGGTTCTACGCTTGGTTAGACACCGATTTCTCCTAAGACTAATCCATACGCTTCGATTTTTCGGAGTATAAGTAGGTTAGGGTTTCAATTGGGGGATTCTTCTTCGGTCTCCTCAGGTGACTTGTATCAAGGTTCAAAGGTTTGCTAGTTTAGCGTTTTCTTTAAGCCACCAGTTACCTCTTTTGTCCCGTCGGTGAAGACGAAGCGGAGTAGGGGTTTTCTTCTTCGCCGGCTTTCTCATCTTCTTGGTATAGTCAGTACTTTTGTGTAAATGTGTAATTAAGGGAAAGCCTAGTGGTCTAGTTTAAGCTTTGTCTTTGGTGTTTTAATATGTTTGTTTTAAATTTTTATGGCTAGATTTGAGGAACTAAGGGGGATGTTGTGTATTTCACATGTTGAAGAGAATGATGTCTCTTCTCATGAGTTAGAGTTTATAGTTGGGCAGTTGGAGAATCCTTTTGGTATTCCCAATTTTGTTACGATTTTAAAAGATGAGGGAAACATGTTCTACTAGCAAAATCAAATAGGGTCTACTATTGCAAATTACTCTCTTGCTCTTAACATGTTGTCCTTTGCTTCGGTTTGTAGTGATGAGGATAAATTGATGTTTTCGGGCATAACTGTGTCCCTTAATCTGAACTTGGGTGCTTGCTTCATCAAGGTGAATGATTATGATACAGTGGGTCAATTATGTTCAGCGGTTTTGTTTTTTGATACTACTAATTTGAAAGCTTACTTCAGAAGAGCTATTGCGGCGTTACATCTTAATAAACCTACCTTAGCTTTCATGGATCTTGCACAAGGCCTAAATATAAATCCCAATAACAGTGAGTTCCAACAAAAACTAAAAGGAGGTGATATCCTTATTAGGTTGGTCTCTGGAGTTTGTTGATGAGGCACTTGCAGTTACAAGGGAGGATGAGAAGTTTAGAGATTATGTTCATTTTGGGAAGGAAGATAATGGTAGGAAGTTAGGAAAAAAGGGGAAAAGAAAGGAAGGAGATGGTTGTGGTGATGGTCATGTTCGAAGGTGTGTAAAGGTGTGAAAGACAACATCAAAATGGGAAATGGCAATTCTATGGATTTGGAGGGTAAAGTCAACTCTACCGACCAAGATCTTAGGCCCAACGTTTTTATAACAATTGTGTCCTAAAGGGAACTTCAGAAACAAAAAACCCAAATCTAACAGGGTCAAGTTTTCGGTTCTTAAGCCGGAAGCGAATCGATTCCTATTTGCATCTCACTCAAACAATGTATGGAGTGATTTCCAAAGGGCGAACAGTATAATACTATTTTTCTCTCCAAAAGAATTTCTTTGCCATTCGAGTAGTCAATCCTTTAAAGAAGATGGATAGTGGTGAAACTCAAGAAGTTTCTACACCAATGGAGTTTAGTCACCCCATGTGGAAGGGCATGATAAGTATGAAACAACTCCAGATTTGATGCAAGAAGATCCAGCCATAGGTATGGAAAGTCACGACGAGTCATCATGCGAAGCTACGTCAACACTCCTACCATTTACGCCAGTTTCTTCCCCTCCCCTAATTTCTGTTCACCCAACAACGTCCTCCTCTTAAATATTGTTGGGTTTTGTTTCGTCTCCCCGTCCCAGGTTTAGAAGGAAACATGCCACTTTGCAAAGTATGTCACTCGAGTTTTTATTAATTATTTGTTTTGCAGGTTAAGCGGCTCTAAAAGAATAACATCATGTCCCACCAGGTATACTTGGTTTCCTAATTGTAAGTTGTATGGTCCGACCCCCATTGTTCTATCATGTAATCTTGTTTTTCTTACTTAGTTTATGTTGTAATCATGCTTTTCATTTATAGAACTCTTTGTCAACAAAAAAAATAAAATAAAAAACCCTACTCCTAATGCCTGAAGAAACTTAACACGGGTATATTTTGTTAAAATCATTTAGCTAGCTTTTAGAAGTTCAAATATACAATTTTTTCCAAAATTTTCAAATGTTTAAAAATATATCTAGAGAAGAGGCATCCGCTCATCAATGTTTGACCGCTACTAACTGTGAGGAGTGTGCTCCTACAAGACTACAATTTGGAGACAATGCTTAGAGCTGTCAATTCGGGTAAACGGGTCGAGTTTGGGTCGGATTAGTATGGGTCAGGTCAACTTAGGCCGTGTCAATTCGGGTTAATGTCGTAACCTATAAGGGTTAGATTCGGGTTGGGTCATGCTTGAGTCATGTCATATCGGGTCATACATCTTATCGAGTTTTGGTCGGGTTTAGGTCGGGTCAATAAAGAGTCGGGGTATATTCGGTTCGGGTGAATAAAAGGTCGGGTGTAATTTGGGTTTTTACGGGTTAAAACGAGTTAGGGTCATTCCCGGGTTCGAGTCGAGTTCGGTTCAAGTCAATAATTTGTGGGTTATAATCAGGTTGGGTCATTATCGGGTTCGTGTCCGGTTCGATTTAAGTCAATATTTGTGGGTTATAATTAGGTCGGGTCATTACCAACTCGAGACATGTTTAGGTTCGGGTCTCAAATATTGGGTTAACCTGGGTCTTGGGTTGATTTTAGGTTGGGTCATATCGGGTTCGGGTACATAGAGTAGTTTTAGCCTTACAAAGTTACGACTTTACGAGCATATTAGAATATATATATCCAACATATATTTTCTAATTATTGTATATATCTTTATTTAACTAGTCAATATCTACAACAATAAAGATATATATGTTGGGTTTTGTAGTGACCCACACTACGCGGAAAGAAACCCGCCAAGCCCCGCCCCCATAATAAATGCAATTAACAAGCAAAACATAATTAAACACAAGAATGGATAAAATTAAAGATTATACCTTTGACGCGTGCTTCGCTCAACAATGAGCTCTTACTTGAACCCCGAAAATACGAGGTCTCCAACGGGATCGTACCCTCGAACCCGACCCGAGCGTCCTAAGTCTCGAAGGTTAGTCGAGACCCGGACAAATAAAACTATTAGTTTTACGAATCAAGGCTTACTCAAATCAAGAGTTGCCTTTTAATTCCACTCAAGGTTGTGTATTCCCAAATACCCAAGCCTTTGGTATTTATAGGGAAATGCACCCTTGATTTCCAATCTCCAACCAATGTGGGAGAGTTGGTAAAATTCAATAATTTATTTAATTCCAAACTAAATAAATAATTAAGATCAATCACAACGCGACAAGTGGCATAATTATATGCTTATGAGTGATGCCCAAGGTTAGGTGGGGGGGACCATAGCCTTGCTCCTCAAGGCTTTGCTTGGTCCCCACACCCACACACAAACCGCCTCAAGGAGAGCTGTGCTGGCTTCCAGCTAGCGTGCCAGCTAGCGCTACCAGCTAGCACCAGCCAGCAGCCTTGCATCCCCAGCCAGGCAGTGCGTGCTGGTGTTGGGCGATGCTTGGCGCTGGTGCGTGCTAATGCTAGGCTATGCTAGCATGTTGGCCCTAGCTCAACACTCCCACGCATTTCCTCGCACACACACGCATCCCTCGCACAGGCTCTACGCATAGCCATGCCTGCCAGCCCCTCACGCACGCAAGGCCTAGCATGCGTGCTGCAAGCGAGCCACGCATGTTGGGCTTGGTCCTGGGCGATGGTGCACATGCACACGCATTGAGTGAGGCTAGTGATGCTTGCTAGCTTGCTGTGCTTGGTGCTGCCATGCGAAGACACGCACGCAAGCACACAGCTATGCGAATGCTCGGTGCTGTATTGCGAGGCTGCTGGGCGATGGTGCACACGCACACGCACACACGCATGTGCCTAGCACTGCAATGGTGTTGTGCGTGGTACTAGGGCTGCGATGGTGCCTAGGCATCATGCTAGGGCTGCGATGGCGCCTAGGCATGATGCTACGCCTAGCACACCATGGTGCGCCTGGGCTTGCGATGAGCTAGCCTAGCCTAGCTATGGCTATGCTCGTACTTGTCGCTTGTGATTTTGCGACGCTCGGTCTCGACGCCCTAGGCTCGATATCCGACGTCTGTATTCGGAAAACTCTGTCGACTCATTAAATCCTTCGGATTAATTCGTCCTCTCGGATCGGTTGTTCGATTAGGTTCGACCCGAAGGGTTCAGTTAAGATTAAGCTGTAATATTAATTGTACCTTAATATTAATGATCAGAAGCGGCCTCCACTTAGGCATTCCGATCACTTGACCTTACTGAAGAATTAGCTCTGTAATAATTCTGAACCCTCTATCAGAATAATACACTTGTTGGAAGGACACCATTCCTTTCAATCTCCCACTTGTCCTTCCGGACAAGTGTACATATAGTGTATAGCCCATTTCCTATGTCGCTTAATGTCTCTTCGTGAACTATAAGGTAAGATTCATCGTCATCCTTATTACGTTCAGAAGTGTTTCTCGATTTCCGAGTTTGACTGTCAATAAGCAGATGATTTCTAAAATCCATCTGAGCACGGCCTTGCATTTTCACAGTCTCGCTCATCGAGCGGCCTTTTAAACAACAAAGACGTATTCCCTATTGTTACTAGGGGGACATTCCCAGTCTTGCATTATAAGTTTCTCTTACTAAGA